TCATTCCTGTATTGTTTATGCAAAAACGACAACATATAGTACACAACTTTATCCAGTCACTTGTACAGATATTTTATTAATTTCATCCGGGGGGTTTGTCTCATATTTCTCATTAAAAATATTGTTTAAAAAGGCATTCAAAGGTTCAAGTTCTAGCTAAACTACATTAAACAGTGTGCAAAGAGAGTAGACAGAGTAGTGTCCAGGCAATAGCCCTGGGGTACTGGATTTTATGATTGGGCTAGTGAACTGCGTTTTTAACTTGCCTGGCTGGCAAGTAAAGTTTTTTAGGGAATTCAGATTACAGAAGAACTGTAATCAGTCCCATTCATAAAAAAAATTGGGGTTAGTCAAAATGGCTTTCAGGCTAGTGTATGCTAGGCAAGCTGTAAAGCCGACTTTCTTTGCACCCTGAACAAAATATAGTTAAAACTCTTTTCTACTGCTTTGTGAGAGTCCAACATTGAAAGACATTTCAAGTAACTAAGATCAATACAGGTAGGTTGAAGGGAGAGAAAAAAACAATTATTGCCGCCACAACATTAATCTAAATTTTCTGGTAGTTAATACAAGTCTAAAGGTCAATCGAAAAAAGTGTCCATGTAAATTACCGACCCAGATTTTAAGAGCAACTAATGATAAGTTTTTTCTCCGGCACACAACCTCTGATCTGTATTTACCGTCGAATTATATCCATCTATCATTGACAGAAACACAATCACTCTTATAAACTTGAACACTTAGCTTAGCTTGTACAGTCGTCTCTTTAGGTCTTCCCTTCCAGACAGAAATTCAAGCTTTGTACATCGAAGGTGCGTAATACTGCTCTTTGTTTATGTTGTCGTGATTGCTCCCTGCCAAACGATTTGATGTAATCGATCATTATTGATGAAGAACGTAGAAAAGCGAAATAATACTGTTCTTTCCTCTACGTTATGGCCGCCCAGAAAGTAGTGTGTTTTGATCACGTGACTAACTGGTCTGGAGGCGGGGAGAGGGCGGGACCGAGAAACCATGGAAATTAGCTTGCGACTGCAGTGGAATTCTGGGAGAAGCAAAATGGCGGATAGAATGTTGTACCTCGCGTTTTCGTATAAAGATCTCCTTTTAAATGGAAATTTCTGACATAATAATGGAAACGTTTACACTTGGTACTGCCATCGGTTTAAACATGACGCATAATGCTTCCTTTTGTGCTGAGAGCGTAAACGCTGCCGCGTGGAACAGACCGAGAGAGGTTGGTTGAAGCTAAGCTTAGTTGTTTACGTTTCTGCTGGTGCATAAATGCACTCATGAAATCAACCCGACTGGAAAGTTTCCAGAGAGACCATGGATAAGAGAGTACGGTTCACTAGCGAAGCAAGTATTTGGAAGTGTTTTGTTTGACTGAGACAGGAAAGGAGCAATATATATACGGCGAGAACTACAAACTTTTTGTTTTGAATTCAATTGGAAAAACATCCTCTTAGCCAAGCGTGTGGGGACAAACATTGGCAGAGCAACTGCCAAGACATACAATGGGGATCGTCATTTCCATAATGTGCGATATCGATAAGTGATTTTAGATGTTTTAAATTAATTACTTAAATGTTTGTTGTCAAATTATGAAAAAAAGACACTTCAATATAAAGTTTTTGCTACAAACCAGCTCACAGTATGTTACAGAGATGTATTGAAATACTCTACTTTTATGGTTTTATTTTTTGGAAAAAGAAATGCAGGAACCATTGATTTTTTGTCCCTTATATTATGAAATAATGCATTTAAAGACCAAGAGAAAATTTACCCTTTTGGTTGCTTCTAACTCAGATTTTGTCTCTGCTAATGTAATACTAAACCAACACCCTTGATATTAGCCTGTGCCACAGATGGAACTAAACTCTGGGTTAAGTCCATCTGCAAAACAGTGGCAAAATCCTAGTTCTGGGCCCCCTGTGTGTGTATCAGGATTAGAGAACATGCCAGGACTGGACTGTTAAAAATGCCATTGTCCATTTGCCAATCATGTTGAAGGGGAACTCAAAATGCTGGTAATTCATTTAGTGCATCAGGGCCCAGAACAAGGATATTAGAGCTGCTTCACGAATGTTACTAACCACAGTTAGAATACACCTGCAACACAAGCTACCTTGATATTTAATGTTCAAAATATTAGGTAGCTGAGATTGTTGAAAATTTGGAAGACTAATGTAGATGTCTTCAAGACTGAATTAACTTATGCTACAACATTGTGTCCCTAGAGAGGTAGTGTTATCAGATTTTGATTTTGTATATGTTGTAGTTCATTTTTATTTCAGTTAATTTTTATTTTTCCATCGTTTCTGGGTATGGTTATGTATGCTAATGAATTTAAAACAAAGGGAAACCAAAAATTAACTGAAATTAAAAATTAACTGCAACATATTGACACTAACATGTAACTCACCTAAATGTCACCTTTTTCTCCTTAAGTCGCCTAAAGTCGCCTTAAATCGCCTTAAGTCGTGCAACATTTTGACCAAATTTTCCTAAAGTCGCCTTAAATCGCCTTAAGTCGCCTAAAATTACGGCGACTTAAGGTCCCAGAGTAGGCCTACAAAAATGCAAGTTACTTTTGCATGTGATCTTATCTTTAGAACAATGAACAAATTCTTCCATACTTGAAGGAAGTAATTACACGTAATTACTTCGGGTGAAATTGGTGAACAAAGTTTTGGTTACACAGGTTTAATTTTTTTCGTCCATGAATACTTATGTCAAATATTAAAGAAATAGACAGAAATAGTAATAGCTCATTTATTAGATTTAGAACGTGGATTTCTCCGACTACTGATTTGATGTAGTTTGAAGTATTGAAATGCCGAGTTTCGATTGTCTCGAAGATGTTTACATCATTTTCATTCAGCAAATGCGATACAAAAACTCGCATAAACAAAGGTTACACAAGTAGAAAGACAATAATCAGTTCGAACAAACATTGAATCTTTTCAAGTGCTAAGAGAAAGTAAATTACCTGCATGATTTCTCTTCTCCTCGGCCGTCAATCAGAATTCTGCGTATAAACAGCTAATTAACCTCGTCAAATATGGGCTTAGCTAGATAAAAATGAGGTCACAACGGTGGATTAAAAGCGTAAATCTGAGCAGAAATTAGAAACAACTTACACATTTTGCTTCCCTCTCACTTAAAGCAGGTGAATTAAAAACATTTTTACGAAAAGACGAGATTCTTGAAGTACCGAGACGGCAAAATACGAGCAAAAATGTTCTCCGTAGTCGCGACTACACGAAACAGCTCAACAACTCACCGTAGCCGCAGGACTACGCGGGAAAAACGAACAGTCACGTGGTTTTGATCATGCGCAGTAGCATGTTTATCCGTAGTCGTAGTCCGTAGTTGCCGTATCTTAAACTCCCTAATATCAACTCATTCTAGTACTTGGCAATTTAAAACAATAAAACTCATTCAAAGGCCGATTAAAAGCCTTGATCTGACGCCGGGCAGTAAGTTAATGGTCCTTAGAAGCATTCCAACGACTCCAAATTTAAAATGACGCCAATTTTAGAACATTCATTCAGTAAACTGACTTCGCGAAGTTTCAAACTGGTGTCATTTCAGTCTAGAAATTTTTAATTAAGTTGAGTGAACTGCAGCGAAAGAGTGCCTGGTTAAGGCTTGCATAACAACTTAAATAGTTTGCAAAACACTACATTTTTCGCGGTTCGACAAACAACAGGTTTCCCCATGGAATAGACAACAAACTGAATGAAACGTAGTACACAAATCATCACTTGCTTATCTGCAAAAATCGGCCTATGGTTCAATGCCATTAGAGCTCGCTGAAACTAGACCTAGATCCAATTTTCCTGAGTCGAGAGTCGCTTTTCCAAGGTACAATCAGCTATAAAGCTAAACACTGACGAAACGATATTAATGGATGGCACAGAATATTTTGGCCAAACCGCAGTTTACCCACGCGATCACATACCTGTCAACACCATGCGGAAATCACACAATCACACACTTTCGCGGCACTGATAAGACTATCAACAACCACGCATAATCTTCTCACGTTCAACATAAGCGAAATATCATCGAATAACTCGGAAAAACTCAGCCTATTGCCAGATAAACACCTCTGTTTCTCTTACACGCGTCTTATTCAAGTTCCCGGATGTAGAGTCACACGGTCGGCGGTTCACCTTAGCCTTGTTTTCACACCAGAAAAAAACTCTTGGCCCGGGTCAAAGTTCACCTGCAATTTTGCTCTCAGCTAATTCATTTGATTCCTAAGAGCCTGTTCCCGAGGCCAAAGACTTAGTGGTCACCTTAGAAAAGCGAACAATATCGTACCTTTCTGTCTCAGCCCGGATCAGGGTGATTGATCCGTTTAGCCAAATGAAACGAGAATATAATACTGAGCCTGTTCCCGAGGCCAAAGACTTAGTGGTCACCTTAGAAAAGCGAACAATATCGTACCTTTCTGTCTCAGCCCGGATCAGGGTGATTGATCCGTTTAGCCAAATGAAACGAGAATATAATACGATATTAGAAGATGCAGACTCTGCGAATCGTAATAACTTTGTTCCATCTCAGAGCTTTACATGATGCTCTTCAGGAAACTTTTCCGCTCAAGGTGACCAATATCTAAAACTAAACTGCTAAACGGCTGATGACTTTGCAGGCAAGAAAAGACTTCATGGTGTTTAAACAGCGTGATTTATTGTGAAGTGGTTTACTGTAGCTGACTTTTTGTGCGCTCGAAGCTATGTTTACTACTAGAGAGGAAAACGAGGTCGCTTTGTCAATGTTTCAGTGTGATTTCGGGATTTTGTCGCAAGACCAATTGTGTATAATTATTCTTTTGCTGAAATGAAATTTGATGCCCTTTGAGTTTAAACTTGTTAAAGAATGTCGTAGACCTCAGGTCCTCAGAAACCGACAGGCTTTTATATCAATTCGTACTCTTTTATTTTCTGTACATTGTAAGTAAAAAATGGCGTTTTGTTTAAAAGGAAGGGATGGATTCCGGGTATCCAGATGAGAGCAATGCACACTCAAGGAATGATTCCCCAGATGAAGAAGAAAAGCAGAAGAGTTCAAGGTAAAGCAAAAAGTCTGTTCCATTATTTTCCAATTATTCATGGTTTCCTTAAAACAAGTTTTCTTGCAGAGCCTTAATTTTTCAAATATACATGTATTAAAGATGGAAAAGTAGCAGAAATAGGAAAATTAGCAGCAGCAGTAAATAAATTGATTAATTGGCATTTCATGTTTTGTCAGTATTCATGTACAGTGGCACCCTGTAAATACGCGACCACTGGGCCATAAAATACTGGTCTCAATAACACGGTGGTCGTATTAACAGGTTCTTCAAAATAATAAGATGTCTCAATGATTTTTACTTTTGGGTCGAAAGAATATGGTTGTAATGACGAGGAGGTGGTATAAACGATGTGGTTGTAAGATTGGATTCCACTGGAAATAACTTTTATATGGGCGTCACGTTTCTTGCAATTTTCCTAATAGCCGAGCAGCATCTCAGATTCGTGGCCTTAAACAACAGCTTTGGCCTGATTCTATGCAAGTTTCGTGCCTTTAAGTTCGAAAGGCTCTGTGCCCTTTGATTTTTAAGGGTCGTTTTGGAAGTGTTTTTACACAGTATCACAATAAACTTCACTCAATAGAACGAGACAATAGTGCATATATCACCGGGGGCACCCAACGACGGTTTCCTCCAAAAGAAGTTGAAAACACTTTGTAGGCTATCCAGAGTACCTTTAGATCTCTAGAAATGCATTCTAAGCAGCGCTACAAAATTTTTATCTGTTCGGTCATCCTCAGGAGAACTTAAGTCTTTTCGAAATTACAAGGGCTTCAGTATTATTCTCCCGAAAATTTTAGGTGCAATTTAACGTTTTACAAAAGTGAGACTTTTTCTGATTCCTCTCTCCATCGCATTTTTTTTCAAAAATCTTAGAAAAATACTGTCACCTGGGTCAGTAAAATATGAAAAATTAAACTTCAGAAAATCGTGGGGAATTTATTAGATAAGCTTCGAAAATTCTACATGAATGGAACGTTCAGCTAGAAAATTTTAGCTGTCCTCTAGCAAAAGAAAATTCTAGGCATAATTTGCTTCTGCGAACAGATATTTTTTAGAAAACAGTCGTTGGGTGCCCCTGATATATTGACTTGGTATATCGAGCATCACCCGCACGGGCAGCCTGGAGTCCTGGAGTTGAATTCTTAAGGGCTTTATCTATGTTCAAATAGAGAAGGGAAACTTTGTCGTAGTATGTCCACGTCCTCCTTAAAACGTCGCATTGGGAGGTTTCACGTCGTAGTCATGCACTGGACGTCAAAGAAATGTACTGAAAAGCGTGATGCACGTGCAGAGCAGTAGTTTTGCTCATAAAACCAAATGTTTTTTACTTTGTTGTTGTTGTCGTCGTCGTCGTTGCTTAAGGTCCCTATTACACCTTTTGCTGTTCTTTAAAAGAATATACATATTCATTTGCGTGAAACGGCGACCAATAGGGCGGAGATACATTCATTAGCGCGAAAAAACGAACATTTGCGCATAAATCGGATTCAATTACGATTCTTGCATTTTAATCAACATTCAATAACACTTTTGAGCATTCATATGCGTCATTCGGCATACAAAAGTGAAAAATATACTTTCATTAACGCCAACATCCTAGTCATTAACACCATCTTGAAATTCAACAGGGACAACAGACAAACATTAAAGTGCAAATTGAAACACTATTCATCAACACTTTTATGACACTCTTTACAATTCAGTAACATTCCTGGACTTTACCGGATAGCTTTTCGTGGCAGCTAAACCCGGGTTATGGAGTTTATTTTATTTTTCGTTTATGTTTGCACAGGGCTGGAAATTAGCCTGCGAGCAAACTCTCCATTTGGAGGATATCGTGAAAAGTACACACGCGAGAGGAGACGCGACAGCGGGGAGCGGGGGAGAGAAAGGAGAGCTTGCACCGATCTTGATCCGAATGTGTTAGTATGGTTATATGTTTTCCTGTAAACCCCGTGCTGATCAGTTTTTTATTCCGCGGGCTTGAGATTTAAGCTAAACCGTCAACAAAACCAACACAGTCCTCACTCATCTTTCAAAGAAGGAGAGAGCGGTCTTCTTCCTCGCCCAGTATTCTTCTTCGGAAAATGGAGTGATCTTCCTGATTTCCATAAGCATCATGTTTCTAACTTATGCGACAAGGAATGTCATCAATCAAATTTAATTGACGGTGCGTCATTTTTCAGCCAATGGTATTTCGTTTCGTCTGGCCGGGCGAAGCAGAAATGAAAATTGATATAGAGATCGTGGCAAACTATCCTTTTCCTCCACCCCTCGCGGCGTCGTCGCTCGCTCGCTCGCTTGCGCGTTCTCCCAAAATTATTTGTTGACTTGTGGTAACTCTTCCTGAAGGCTTGGACTTCTGCTAAGCAAATTAAATAGCATACATAATTTATGAGCTTAAAATGGTTAATAAAATCCGGAGAAAAGGATCTGTAGGTCCAAGACTTAACTTCCTAAATTTACGTTTCAACCAAAATCAATCATGATTGATTGACAACAGCCTGTTAATATGAGGTTACACAATCATTTTTGCCAAGTTTGGGTACACTTTGGTAACCTTTGCCGTTGTGGAGTGCTGCTTATTGTAGCGTTTAAGACAAGGATGGATGTTATTACTGTCTGTTGAACAAAAAAATTTTTTTCCTGGTGTGAGCTTGTTTTTTTTTCTTTTCTTTTCTCTAGGAGTGTTTTAAAGAAAAAGTTGTACAAGGTATCTTTCCCTGGCTACAGTAGCATGGAGACCCAGTCTTGTGAGTCCCTAGGTCAAGAAACCGTTCGCAACCTCGTAGAGAGGATATTCAATGAGTCCGGTAATAAACGTCTGAAACCTCCATTTGAAAATATGTTGTTTTATAATGCAAATAATGAATGTCTCAATGTTGGTCTGCCGGTTGGAGTATTGTCCAACGAGGAAACCTACAAATGTTCCTTCGAAAATGATCTTAAGTTTCATCCAAGTGACTTATGTCGCCTGTATGCTGTGAAAGACTTTAGTATGGACTGGACGTTGGGCTATTTCCTTGTATCATTTTCCGAGGGAGAGATTGCTTCTGACGTCAGCGAATTCTCAAAGATCATTAAAACCAAGATGAAGGTTGACTTCTTCAATGATGAGACCATTTTTGAAGCCTTAGTAAGGGATAAAAGATTCAAGGAGGAAAAGCTACGTTATTGTAAAGCATTAAATTGTGATCAGGGACAAATCAGTCTGTCTTTTCAAGCTTCTGACATTCAAGGAAAGTGCATTGAGATTTTTCCTTTAGAAGAAGAAGATACTGCATTGCCCGAAGACGTTCCACCACGACCCCAACCAGATCCTTCTGCAACAACTGCCAGTATAACACAAAGCAAGATAAAGCAAGAGTCTACTTCAGTTACATCTTCTTCAACTCCCAGTAGTCTGACACCGGTGGATTCGAGTACCCCCTTGACAGGAACATTTGTTAAGACGGGGGAGAAATCTGGCCCATCAATTGAGATAACACGCTGTACGATTGACACCAAACACAAAGAATTAACCTTTAAAAATGAAAAGGAACTAATTAAGCAGCATGTGAAGTTCGAACAGTTTGCTCTAAAGCAAGGCTGCCGGACCTATGTCTGCGATTTGGAGGAACTCACAAAAATCGCCGAGTCCGTTGGTGCTATCCTCGCGTTGGGTAATGCAAAGCAACCTCTTCTCTTTGGTACATGTTTTAGAATAGGTACAGTGTACATTATCACAAGCTACCATGTGATTGACAATATTTTCAAACGACAGGTACCAAAAAATGCCGTTTTTGTTGATTTCAACTTCAAGAAAGCGGATGAATCGCATCGAGAGCGAAGATCTATTGATCGCGTGCTTATGGGGTCCGAGGAACTAGACTACGCCATATTAAAAATGAAAGAATCAGAAGATGTCCTCCCGCCGTGTATTTTTTCGCATGGTGTCAGCATCATGAATCCTGATAATAGTGACTGGACCAAGCTGGATGGACTACCTCTCAGACTTATCGGCCACCCAGATGGAGAACCAAAACAGATCGACCTAAGGTGCACTGTAGATAAAAGACCGCAGGACAGCCTGAAGCTTTACGTGGAAAACATACGAAAGGGAGAACCAGACGAAGAAGCAAAGAAAGAGTGCCTTAATATCAAGGACAAGAATAGAGGAAGATATCAGACTAGCGAGTTTTTCCATGGATCATCTGGGTCTCCGGGGATAGTACGGCAACATGGTAGGAAGTGGCTGGTTTTTCTCCACTGTGGTGGGTCCAAAAATATAAGGAACGAGTTTTTTATTGAGCAAGGAGTGCTTCTCACCGAAATATACAAAGACGTTGACAAACAAATTGAAGACGCTCAGCGAAACCCCTATGAAGCTAATAATCCATTGAAAGATATTAAGCTAGAAGACATTTTTGGTTCAGTCGATAGTGAGCCAGAGGAGATCTTCAGCTGAGAGAGATTTCGGGAAATACCTATGTGGTAAACTTGACCGTACTTTTTTTTACCGTAAGTATTAATTTAGAACTTTATTTTAGACTGTTCTAAACCCTCTATCAAATTAACAGTTGAACCGCCATTAAGCGGCCACCTTCTATTAAGCATCCAGTAATGAAAGTCCCGAAATAATTGTAGAAAAGAATATTGTGACAAATAAAGATTTCATTTAAAATCAATGAAACCTCTATTTAGCGGCGGCCATCTCCATTAGGCGTCTGCGGCCACTCTTTACTTTCACCCCAACAAGAGTTTTGCTATTGTCGTCACCTCTAGCGGCCATCAAGCGCTTGATACACGTAGGTTGGCTTTGCTATAAAAGTGTTATAAAAGAAAACACATTCCTTAATGAAAGATAAAACCGACTGATTTTGGATAAGTAATTCCGCTTATGTTTCTGCTGAAGGTTAAGCTAATTTCCGACGAATGTTTATTCAAAAACCAACCTCTATGAAGCGTCCACTTGCCGTTTTTCCTGTGGTGCCTGCTTAATGGGGTTCAACTGTAAATGAATGCACGAACTGGAAACGATATGCCATGCGGAGTTCGAAAGCTCCTCCCTCGTGGGTACACATCCGCTTTTGTTGTGTATCTTCCAGTAAAAGTTGAGAAATTGGAGGGGCAGTTAAGAGTCTAAAGCCCGTTTTCCATATGATCGCTGCGATCGCTGAGATAGAAAGTTTTCTACCTCAGCGATCATTGTCGCTGCAATTGCTGGAGAGTGGTTTCCATATGATCGCTGCGATCGCTGAACTTTTTTGAAGCGACCCTTTTTTTTGCAGCGATATGGAAACCGGGCTTAACTTAACTTAGTATCACGCCGTTAGTAGCAGATTTTAGGGAGCTTTAGCATCAACGACGGCGACGGCAGCGAAAACGTCACTTTTGAAATGAATTCGCCTTTTTTCAAACTTGTCGTGTCTATTCCAATTCGCTGAAAATGTCAAATTTAGGCAAATTTCCTTGCAGCTGAGTTCTTAAGGACCGCACTAAGTTTAGAAAGAGAAAGAAAAATTCGCCGTCGCTTGTTTACGTCCTCCACAAATGGTGAAATTAGGCAATTTCACGCCGTGGTCGTGCAGTGACGGCAAGGAAATGTTCAAAAAAGCGTGACCCACGTGCAAAGTTGTTGTTTATGCTGCTTTTTTTGACGTTCTCGTTGCCGTCGCCGTCGTCGTTGCTAAAGCTCCCTTTCATGTTGCGCAAGGCGCCAGGTCCCTGACTAACTGATTAGCGCTGATCTATTAAGATCATCTAAGGTTAAAATTTTGCTAAACAATTGTATTTCCTTTTCCGTGGGGTTTTTAAAGTATCACCCTAACTGGATCTCAGTGATATCCTCCTAAACAACAACAACAACAACAACAAAACCTTTTTCTTCAAATTTGGCTTCCCCCACCCCCCTTAAACCTAGATAAAATAGACATTGGAATGCAATTGCGATATTTCCCAATGGCTGATTGGTCTACTAAGTTGACTCTTAAGATTTTGACGTTGAAATCTTTGTTCTCAGTCTTGTCGCTAATATTCGACTCTAGCCTTTTCCAGGCGTTCAAGTAGCGGGGACAGCGCAAAGAAAAGTGAGCCCATTTCGCGCCACTCTCCGCTTTATGCCTGGAAAAGGGAAGTTCAATCCATGAAGGGCATATGTCACTGAAACGACCTGTGACAATGCTTCTAAACTATACTGGTTGCAAAGAAGATGAAATTTGAATGGATGTGCTCCCAAACACAATCAAATTTCGTTTTCTAGTTTTGTCAGTCAATTGATCGCTTGCAACCTCTTTGATTTTTTTAGTTACCATTTTTTGAATTGAGAGGCCGTTTTACCGGTTTCAAGTGTAGAGGCTAGTACGGAAAATAACAAAATTATTGATCAAGGATATGCTTCTATGAAAAAGACAAGGCATCAATGTTCGCATGATGATTAACATCCATTCAAAAGAAGTTAGTAGGATTATGTTATTTCCGTTTATATCGGATTTTTTCAAAGGATGCAAAGCAATTTTGCTATTGTAAAGGAAAAGTGGGAGTAGCCTGAACTGACATGAATTTTTTTTTTAACAATGATCACAATACAATCACGGGGCGCCCACACAATGTGTTTGTAACCGATTGTAATATTTTTACAGTAAATGTACTGGATTTACAATTTGCTTCACCTACAGCGATATATCGCTTAGTATGTATATAAATCAAAGTTAAAAAAAAAACGTTTAATTACCTTGCCTATGGTATATTGTCGTCCTTTTGCCTTAAAAGCGGTTTTTCGAGCGATTTTGAAGGATTTTGAGCTCTCCGTTTTTTGTTTTTTTCAAACCTTAGCGACATATCGCTGTTGGTGACGCAAACGGTTAATCCAGTACATTTGTACAGGTAATCACATGATTTCGAATGCAATTTGGAATAAATAAGCACGAGTAAAGTTTTTCAAAGGCTAACAAAATTGCACGAGCCCGTAGGGCGAGTGCAATTTGGGGTCTTTGAGATAAATTTACGAGTGCTTATTTATTTCAAATTGCACGAGAAAAATCATGTGATTACTTATTAATAATATTCATGAAAAAATTGCGAGTTAGCTTTAAAATCTCTTTGATAGGGGGTCAACATGCGTAAACTACGTGCAAAAATAAATTATTTAAATGTTGCAAATGTCATCACACGTGCAGTCAAAACAACATTTTGCTCGATGTTTTTAAAGTTTGCAAGCTGCAGAAACGGGCTGAACAGTTCATGGAATTGTTCAATGTGTTTGAATTAGATTCTGACTTATTACCTCGAGTTTTCCGCTCTTTCAGAGAATTTCTTCTTGCTCTCTGATACTTGCCACGACGCTTGCCACGGCCAGCCAATTCAAGCGAAGCGGTTTCGCTTTGTCCTCCAACACCTCTTTGGACGAACTAAATTCTCGGTCACGTACAATGGACAGGGTGCAGCCTTTGTTCTTTAACTGTCTATCGAGCGATGCCATCATTACCTCAAGGCTTTCTGGTTCATAATCTTCACCTTTTTATTGTTTACTTTGGCGTAGAAATGCTCGACCAAAGTGTTAAGCTCAGCCGGCTCATAATTTTCTATTTCATCAGTAATTTCCTTATCTACGCACCAATTCTTCTAAACAGAGAGCCAAAAACCAGTGCTTTTCGCAGTGTTTTCGTTTTTAGAGCAGTTTTTCAGCTCCTCTACAGTTGTTTCCGTCGCAAAAGCAAATGTGCTGCAAACGCCAACCATTGCTGTTTTTGCTCGAAACTGGTCCGCAGCGAATCCAATTTTGCGCCATTTAGATGGCGCATTTGATTGGCTCTCAGTGAGTTCCTTTGGTTATTAGCCATTCAGAATGTCATGTTTGTTACTCTTGTCTGCACTAAATTACCTTTTTTCTGCACTCAATTACCTTTTTTTTGCATCGTGTTACCTAAAAACTGCATTCCTTTTAGCCAATCACAATCGAGAAATTTTTTCATGTATATTATTAACTATAAAATATAACAATCGGTTACACACAGATTGTGTGGGCGCCCTTTGACACAATATACTAATTAACAACATGTCCCTATAGTAAGGTCATAAGAAAATCAGCGGTGTAATGGCAATTTTTAAGAGATCCTCTTTTCAAATCGAGGTATCGATTTATACTGTGTAAATATCTTTTTAATGTTTAGATTTTTAAAGGAGTATATAATCCTCCTTTTGTAGATCCAAGGTAAAAGTATATATATTGAGGCTTTAATAAGTTTAAAAGTTATAAGCAACTGCAAAAGTGTAACAGGTTTTAAAAGTGTCGTCATGAGCCTCTACCAATAGCATATATCTGCCTTTACAGTACATAATCGAGGCGTTAATCCACAAAAAAGAAGTCTCGTGCAACTATTATAAACATAACGTTTTTTAATGCATGTTTATAGTATAAGCATGATAAGTAGTGTGTATTAGATGGAAATTTCCCTGGTTGGCCTAGCTTTCTGATAGCATGTATTTTTGGTAACATGTTACGTTAAGGAACACTGTCGCGAGAAATCCAAAGATTTAGTTGTAACGATGGAAATATTACATGAATTTACTTGCTTTGTGAAGATTTACTTTATGTGCGTGTTCTCTTTTGACGTGAACGAAGGTAAAGGAAAGGACAAAAACTACGAGGTGATTGTGGCGTCTTAGATATATAACTTTTTGCTCTCCTTTCATTGATTCACTTGAAAACCATCCCTTGGTGTTGTTATCTACGCTATTACAGACCAAAATAAACTAATAACAAAAACTTAACTGCACATTCATGATTGCAAAAAAATCTTTGGTAAGGATTTCCATGACCGTGCCTCGGGCGCAAGTCGACTTCGTGAACGCCGAAGTCGTGAGCGACGCAACCGGAAACGGGGTTTGAGAAAGTTTATGGGTTGGGAGAAATCCCGACCCCTCCTTGCTTCTCCCTCACAACGACTTAAAAGTTCTATACGGTATTCAAGATTTCATTCAAATCTCGGACGTTGTTCATTTCAGTATTGTGGACAGCTGGTCACGCTTTAACGATAAGCACGGCTGTATGGGTCACTGTAAGGAGAGTCATTTTCTCAATAAAATTGATTTCTTTTGACAAATACAATCAAAACCCGTTAATACGGACACTAAAGGGTCCATAGAAAGTGTCCATATTAAGCGGATTGTTGTTACAGTAAAGCGACACCTTTTATTAGAAGAAAATGCTAAAGAAATAAAGAGGGTCTTCAATTTTCAATCTTCAATCTTTCTTTATTCACACTATATAAGGTGTATGTAAGTAGGAAATAAACTTGCTAATAAATAATGATTAACTGATTTATGAGTGCTTCAGCTTTGTCAACGGCAACAACAACAATCTATAACAATGGGAATCATCTCGGTAAATGTTCATGACCTGCAATGGGAAAACAAAACGTACAAGCTAAAGAGGTCTATTACGGACCTTACGAAAATGATACGGCGACTGCAACTGGAATACCCCAAACAGATCTGTTTTGTCTTTGTTCGTTTTGCTTTGTTCTGTTTTATATTTAATTAATTATTTTTTTTCTGGCACAGTTCTTTGCCGTCCCTGCACAACTACGACGTGAAATGACCAAAGTTTTACTTTAATTGACAACTGGAACGGCAAGGCGAAAAAAAAATCACTGTCTCTTACTGACTCGGACGCGGTGCTCTCTTTTCAGCTACCAACTGATTTCCCTTCTGTGAGGTAACCGGGCGACCTACAATAATCGTGAAAAAGTGGAAAGAATGCAAAGTCTACTTTTAGCAACGTTTTCATCGGCGTGGCCGTGTCGGATCGTAAGGTCCCTATTCACGTACGCAACCCCGTTCCCAAAAAGAAGAAAAAGGAGAGAGAGATTGGGACCAGAACAAGGTTGCCACTGAAGTCTAATCGACATTTCTTTTATTACTTAAGAAGTTTTAGTTCAGAAACCGAAACGTCTAGAAGCGAATCATTTTATTTGTCTCGGAATGTAAAGGAAAGAACTGTTTTTTTTTCCGATTGTTTCAGCTATTCAGTCAACAATAAGAACAAGAAATTTATAAGAGAAAGAATCGACTAGATAATGGTTACCTAGAATAACGTGACAGCTAATTGAACTAGTCATAACTGAAAAGTTGATACTATGTTACTTCGAAAAAAAAATGTCACAGGCAATGTCAAGAAAAGAGGCCCATGGAGTGACTGATTTATTGATTTACCTCAATTCAGTAAACAGAAATAAGAGAGAGATGCACGGCAGTAAGAGCACCACAAACTAGTACGATTAAGGAGCACAACGTGCACGTACGTCACATGCTGAATTTCAGAGAAAAACACCCAGGCTGAGTATTTACGGCTTTGACGAACACTTGATCAACTATAGTTTAATACTATTCTTTACTTAACCTACGTGTAGCCGACCCCTCCGCCCCGCTGACCAGGGGCGGATCAAGGATTTTTTTTTAGGAGGGGGTGTACTCGTCTCTTGCTCTACTTCAACACCAATAAACCACATAGTTTTTTTTTGCAGAATACCAGTTGTATTAGAAAACCGCAGGTCATCTCGGGGGGGGGGGGGGGGGTTCTACGCTCACGCTCCCCCCCCCCCCCCCCCCCCGCCCGCGCGGGGGGGGTAGAATTTTTGTTTGTGTGGGGGGGGGGTTCGTCTCCCCTCCTCACCTACACACAACAACATATAACTTTTTTTTTTGTGATGGCACAATAAATGAAGAAGACAACACCGGGCGGGGGGGGGGGGGGGGGGGGGGGGGGCGCACCCCCTGCACCCTCCCCCTAGATCCGCCCCTGCTGACGTAGACTATTCTCTACTCAAAAAACAACAAAACGCCCGTGAATTCAAACACATTATCATCATGCAAGAGAACATAATTATAAAATAGTTTACAATAAATTGGTTTAACGTAGTTTAAAACATTTTACAGCAATATGCATATGTTTTCATCTCTAATGTTTGACAAATGTTTCTACGATCCGAATTTCAAAGCACAAGCGTTCGAGTTTTATAAAAAGTTTGTTCCTGATAACGGTTTCCTTATAATCGCCCTCGCACATTGGCTACCTAAACATGTACAACCATCATGGCTCCCCTCCCCCACCCCCATTTTTTCTATCAAAATTTTGCGACATAATTAAGCCATTTCCCAGTGGCCCCAAGCCTATAAGTGCGAAGCTGTTGATATGAAAATAATATTTTATTCTCACGGAATTAAAAGTCGTTTGCACAAGAAACGTTTAGTACTTAGCCTCGTTTTGTAAGGGAGAGTTTTGGAAATTCAAAAATAGCCTACATCATATGTTACACAAACAATGACAATAGAAAATTACAAGCACCGGTAGCTACTCTCTTCAAGAAACTGCTTCGTTTCCTTATGACCAAACTTCTCAGCACATGCCGCTGCTGTAACGCCTTCCTTATCAACAGTAAATAAATCGGCTCCATTATCCAGTAACAGGCGGACAACTTTCAGGTGCCCTGAACCTGCAGACACGTGCAGTGGTGTGTCTCCATTGCTATCAACCGCATTTACATCACTGCCTTCAAGAATCAACCTTCGCACTGTGCGGTACTTACCAAAAGCCGCAGCTGTATGGAGAGGGATGCTACCTTCCGAGTCTCTTAAGCTGATGTTTGCCTTATATTCTAGCAGCAGCGAAACCATGTTGCAATTGGATTCTTTTGAAACCAAGTCATCACAAAAGGCAGAAGCAAGATGCAAAGGAGTGCTTCCTTCATTGTCTCTTGCGTTGGCATCAGCTCCATGTTTAAGAAGTACTCGAGCAATTTTCGTTCGATCAAAAACAGCGCAGATGTGAAGAGGTGTACATCCTTTATCGTCTCTAGCTTCGAGATTACTAAAGACAAAACTTTCATGTAAATAAAATGTAAAGCAGCAGAAATTAATATTAAACTGAGAAGAAGAACTGGACTGCAATTAACATTGATGGTGCATTCGATTGACCTTATTTTGGAACAGAAATGTACTTATCGAGGATTATTCACGCAGGAACAGTCTTTCCTCCGGAATAGAAAGACAGACGATGTATAAGCAACGGAACGGCTTTTCCCCAGTGCTATAATGACCGCCGTGTAGAGTAAAATTTCGTCCACTAGATCATTACAAGCAGTTTTTAATGTTTATGCACTTTTAGCGCTTTTACGCAAACAATATTAAATAGTATTTTCTTGTTTTCGAGTTTTATGGAAACTTAGTAGGTGTGATGGGAGATTTCCATATTCTTTTGTTATTATATTAATGATGATGATCACTATAGTATAAATATAGCGCCAACGACTGGTGTTTCTCGTCGGCAGCGGGTCAGTGGAACGGTTATAAAATAGATGAACCCATTTAAGGCTTGCCGGTGTATCGGAGGATAATGCCCTTGGCGGAAGGAAAGGCTTCAAAATCTCAGTTTCCTGGAAGCCTTACTTCATCTAGGGTCCGGTCATACACTCTCCGTTGGAAGGGGTTGATTTACTAATTATTCTCTGTATTCCTATTCCAGAATATTTATTATAAGGTCAACTGAACGTACCGTATGTTAGCGCAAAAAATGGTGCATTGCGTGGCTGATCATAATTTATGATCAAAACGTTGAACTTTGGACAGTCACAGTGGTTTTGATAGGCTACGAGTAGCTTTATACATGTATCGTTCTACTGCCTCTGCCGCAAAACAAGCTTTTAAAACAGTCATCCACTGATAAGATATAAATCTTTGCATCAAGCAAAGTGTGTGTAGGACTAAATTAGCTATTTGTCTTACCTTCCGTGGCTGATCATGATTGAGACCCACTCATCCTGGAAAGCAGAATACCATGAGGGCTCGGTATCAGCTGGATCCGGGTACAGGAAGTCATAGGCATCATTATAGCTGCAACCCGCGTGGAGAGGAGTGGAACCTTTATAATCCATTGCGTTTTGATTACCGCCGTGTTTTAAAAGAGGCTCCACAAGCCAATAATGATGGAAAGATAATGCATTGTGAAGAGGTGTGCATCCCCGTTCATCTTCAACATTCACTTCTGCTCCATGAGCAACAAGCATCTGCACAATATCTTGCGCACCAGAACAACTCGCCATGTGCAGGCACGTTCTACCCTGCAAGTTTCTTGCATTAACCCCGCTGCCTTTCTTAATGAGGAGCTCTGCAATTTCATACCTATCCTCAGCCACTGCAATGTGAAGTGGGGTGTTTCCTTGCTTGTCTCGGGAATGAATATCGGCCCCAGCGTTCAAGAGAATACGTACATCGTCTACAGAAAAAGCTGACGGATCATTAAACATTGACGAAATTCTTGGATTGTAAATGGCAAGGTGAAGGGGTGTGTTACCATAAATGTCTGATTTTTGCAAGTCTGGTTTGAGTTTTAGCAAGAAATTGCTCCTGTGATGAACTAAACTAACATGCAAGGGTGTCTGTCCTCTTTTGTTAACAGCACATACGTCAGCCCCTCTATCCACGAGATGTTGTATCATCTCCTTGGTTCCGCTTGCTACTGCCCTGTGTAAAGGAGTTTCTCCGTTCTTGTCTCTCGCCTCTAGATCCAATCCATGGTACAACAGGTCGTCAACAGTAGAAACAAACTGGTGGCCTGCAGCAAAGTGAAGGATTGATCGACCAGTTTCGTCATCGATTGCGAACTTATCGCCTCCGTGTTCAATATAGTATTTTACAAAGTCCAAGTAATAAAAGTCAAACGAGTAATCTAATTTGAACATCGCACCAAGAAGTGTCCGTCCCCTGTAATCTTTTAAATTGATGTTGCTTCCATGACCTATCAACAGTTTAACAGATGAAAGGCAGCCTATTCCTGCTGCTAAATGAAGAGCAGTTCTGCCTGTTTTATCAACAGCTTCGATGCCACTTCCGTTCTGTATCAAAACCTCTAGGGCATCGTAGTTTTCTCCAGCAGCTGCAAAGTGAAGAGGCGTCCAACCGTGGTTATCTGTTGAGTTAATATCAGCGCCATGGTGAATTAGTAGCTCAATGGAGTTAGGATGACCTTGATAAGAAGCTGCATGTAAAGGAGTGCGATTTTCTCTGTCTAGAGCTCCCACGTGCGCACCTTTATCAAGAAGCATCTTCACGATATCTGGCCCCCCTGCCAGTTGATGTAGAGGTGTTTCTCCGTTGTCATCAGTAATATTTACGTCACAGCCATATTCTAGAAGAAGCTCGCAGATTTCCACATCGGAAGAACGCAGACGATGAAGAAGACGGAAGATTCCGTGCTGGTCGTTGGCGTTTACTGAGGCTCCATGTTCCAGCAAAGTTTTCACGTTCGATACTACAGAGTCGTCTATGGCCTTCATAAGTGGTGTCTCACCACATTTGTTCTTTGTATTGGCAGTGCTACCACACTTCAAAAAGAATTCAACCAATTCATTGTTGTTCGTATCGGCTGCTTTAAACAGAGGTGTCTCACCTAAAACATCTTCGGCCTCCACATCAGCACCATTTTGTACCAAAAACTGAGCAAGTCCGTTGCGATTGAAGCTACGTACAGCGGCATGTAAAGCTGTATGTTCATCCCTACCGCATTTCTGATTGATGTCTGCACCACACTGAAGCAACGCTTCAGTAAGTTTGCGTTGGCCTTTCATGACCGCAAGGGAAAGTGGAGATTCTCCTAGAGGAACTTCAGTGTTTACCACACAGTCGAGTTCGAGTAGTAAGCTAATAATTTTCTCTTCCTCGCAGTCTATCGCACAAAGTAGTGGAGATTCAAATCTGTTATTTAGAGCATTAATATCTGCACCGAAGGAAAGAAGAAGCTTAAACATTTGCATGCTGGTTTGTTTGTGCTTTTGCAAAAGGAGATGAAGGGATGAATTTCCATCTTCATTTTTTGTATTGGCGTCCAGGCCGTTTCGAAGAAGATGAGATACTAACTCAAAATCCATGCGACAAACGGCCGACGTCAGAATCGTGTCTCCACTTTTTAGACGGAAATCTTCGATGACACCGAGTTTGTCATGATCAAGTAATTTAAGAACATCAACTAAGCCATATTTGGCAGCAAGATTGCTTAAAGCTCTAAAGGTACCACTGTTCAAGGGTGAAACATTAGCCCCTCCTTCTATTAGAAGTTTCGCCACTTCACCTTGGCCTGCACGCAGGGCAGCATATAGAGGGCATATATTCCCCCAGTAGTGTCTATCTTCCCACGAATTTGACTCCATTTGCCTTTTTCGGAGACGTTCTTCCCTCGAGGCAACATTTCCATTAATGTCGGCTCCGTGGTCTAGGAGTAACCTCACTACATCACAATGTCCGGCGTATGCTGCCTCTTCCAGAGGTGTTAGTAACGAATCAGTTTTGCTATGGATTACATTTGCAGATACACCATTGCTTAAAAGAAATTCCACAGTAGCTCTTAAACCCTCCCTGGCAGAGGATTGTAACAAGTCGGCCTCATAAAACCCTAATAAGTTTGGATCGCTTGAAAGAAAGGACTCGCTGCCTTTGTCAATCAGAAACTTGGCAGTGGTAACATGACCTCCCTTTAAAGCACAGTGCAGAGCCAAAAAACCGTCCTTGTCTCTTGCGTTAATACCAGCGCCTCGGTCTAGAAGATAATTAACTGTGTCAGTTTGTCCCTTTTCAGCAGCCACATGCAATGGCGTTCTTCCATTCATATCACTTGCCCGAATGTTAGCTCCATGTTCTACAAGAATCATCACCAACTCTAAACACGATGCCAAGTGAAGGACGGTTGTTCCACGAACAGTCTCAGCTAATACATTTCCATAATGTTCAAGAAGGAATTTAACAACTTCTGTATGGCCTCCTTTAGCGGCAGAATGCAATGGCAACCAGGCAATTTCGTTTCCTTTCTCTAATTCTCCTCCATTTTGCAGCAAAACGCGGAAAGCCTGCAGGTGTCCCTTTTCAGCAGCTAACATTAGAGGAGTGTTATCAAAGGGACACGAATCGTAATCAAAGAAAGGATTTTGTGGGAAGCCATAGGAACGCGTTAATTCGTTAACATCGGCACCATTTTCGATAAGCAGACGGACACAATCTGTATGACCATTTAAGGCAGCAAAATGTAAAGCTGAGTAACCATTTCTATCCTTTTGCAAAACATTGACACCACGCTCGATTAATCGCAAAAGATTTCTTACTTTTCCACCCTCAGCAGCATAATGGATCGAGGTACGTTGTTGGTCATCAAGCCATTCTGGAGAGCTACCTCGTTCAATAAGAAATTCAAATACTTCCTCGTCATTATATTTCGCAGCCAGCATAAGAGGAAGCGGACCTTTACCTGACCAATGGTTCTCTACAGTTGTAAGCTGCTCACCGCAATCCAGCAGTCTACGAAGGTGGTGAACCTTTCCTTCTTTTGCAGTGACATGAATCAGAGACTGGGAACGAAACTCGCTACAGATTGTTTCAACAAGCTTGAAAATCTGCTTATGTCTTGAGGACTTGTGCAGCATTAATACCGTCCACAGTGACTTACCGGGAAAGTGCAATGAGCTGCTTTTGACTTTGACATTCACTGCTATAATACTGTCAAGTTTGCTTGGACTGTTCTCCTGGATCGCCGTAAACGTTTCTACATCTCCTTCAATGCAAGCTGATTGCAGGCGGCTCAGGCCACTGCCATTGTCTGGTGTAATCAACGCATCAAAGGCCAAACACTTCAAGGAAAGCTGGGGGAAAATTACCAAAAGAACCCAATTACATGCTATGCAACTTGTGTCAACAACTATTCCTGTCAACCGTGCAGTTTTCGGATTTCGTGCGCCTAATAATGGATTTCAAGTCAGTAATCAGAATACTTTTGGGCACTTCTAGGAACTTCTTGAGTTGTAAAACTGTTTAATTGTCGCCTACGTGTTTCGTGTGACTAGTGCACACAGTTTTAGCTACAACCGTGGGCCCCAAAGCATTACAAATATGTCACACCTTGCAAAATAATTCTTTGCCTATTTCTTAGACGTATAACAACGAGGTTTGCAGTTCCTATAGCCAAATCCGTAAGTGTTTTGTGTTCAATGTAAACTTAAGTTCGTTTTTAGGTATTTATACAGCTACTCTTAGTTGTATTGCAATATATAGATTTAGCCAGGGCTAAAAGCGAAGCTGTCGTTAACTACATACTTATAGACAAAAAAATAAAAAAAATCGCGTAATGCTAAAAGGCGACGGCAATAAGAACGGCAACAAAATGAAAAGATCTAAATAGCAAAAAACAAATTTGCACGTGCAGCACACTTTTTTGTACATTTTTTTGCCGTTGTTTGCACGAATAAAACGTGAAACTTCCTAGTTACACATTATTTTTATAGAGGAATTGTCGTATGTGCTCACCAAACATTTGGTTGCTTATTTTCTGCTCGCTTTTATTTTTTTCGCTGCCGCTCATTTTCTCATTTACTCTGTGCGTCTATGAAATTTCATCTTTTTCTTCCAACCAAATTCGTCTCTTTTTTTAATCTTTCACCCTAGCTCTTTCTCTCTTATCCACGTGACTGTAGCCATCAAAATTAACGTCAAAAAGACTCGACTTTGATGTTGTTTTTTTTTTCTCTGTAAAAGACGGGTGGCCATGATATCTCCCGCCAAAAATACCTCGAGATGCCTGTGGTGTCATACCTGTTAATTGAGTTATTTTACATTGGTATACTCGAGGTGCGGACGGTCGGGCGTACGGTCAGGTGATTACCAAAATTTTCCGGATGGGTTGTTTACCAAATTTTCTTAGGTATGGTGCTCCGCTTCGTGCGCGCGTGGAGCTCCGCTAAAACTCCCTGATGAATGGCTTCGTATATTTTACTGTCAATGAAAAATAAATTGGCAAGAGCTTGCAAACCAACCACAGAGAGAGGAAAACATTAAGGTTAGCTTGAGTTGTACTTTAAGTAGGAGCTATTTTGTTCGCTGTTAAGCTTTTTCAAAGTGGCAATTTTATACCCCTTCCTTCCTTTTCCGCCGGAAAATGCAGTTTCCAGTATTACTAATTCTCATTATAACTTTTTCTAATATTACACGAAAGATGATCTGAGGAATGTCTCGGTATCTATTATAAGTAAATTTCAAAAACTCATTAATAATTCAAGAAGAAAAACAAAAGAAATCAAAGGAGTGTCTTAGTATACATCTGATATAAATGTCGACCCTAGTGGAGGTGAAGAACAAAACACCATTAGAAGAGAAGTCGGTGCTCATCTTCACAGCCCAGGTTGCTCAGCTAAGGACAATATGGGCTGTGGAGGTGTGACAAGTTTAAAGAACTTTCAAGCCGAGACCAATTGAAAATAGCACTGAAGAAGAGGCTCTGTTTCAAGTGCCTTAACGAAGGGAATTTCAAATACCATTGTCCTGAGGGAACTGTCATATGTTAAGTGCAAGCTTAAGGTTGTGTTGAGGACCGTAACACGTCGACCCCACAGAAACAGTCAAAGAGATCAGAGCAATAGCACAGCTTCTGTTGCTCTAGCAACTAGGACCGGAAAGAAGCGCGTCTGTTTAGGGGTCGATCCTCTTACAATTATTAAGCTGATAGGAATAAAAGGCCGAGAAGCGGCTTGGGGAAGAGGAAGAGTTGTAGAAACCTATGCCCCATTAGACAATAGTAATGAGATGACCTTATGTAAAGAGCAACTTTTGTCAAGCTTGGATCAGGGGGCTCAAAACGTGATTACGAACTGCAGGGAGTGACGGGTACCAAGAAAGGTTAGGGGTATGTGATAGACATTGTGGTGACTTCTATGGATAACAAAGTCTCAGAAGAGTTGCTGAACGTCAGGACTGTCGTGCAGATACCAGTGTCCTCCAGTTGCATTCCACGAAAGAATGACATTTCAAACTGGGCTCACTGAGAGATGTAGAGATGCTGGAGTCTGGTCGATCAGATGTCGGCCTAATAATAGGTACTAAAGAGAAGACTACACTTTTTAGTCCCTGGGGTGGACAGTTATGGGCCCTTTGAGTGAGGAAAGATTTGATGAACGTTGTTCTGTCAACTTTGCCCGCTTAGGCAGCAAGTGGTTTGACGCCTCGCGCGCGCCCGTTCTTTCTTACGCCCATGTTAAACCACAGGCGGCCCAAACTCACGTTGCGAGGGAAGGGTGTAATGTAATTTACATAACATAGGTGACGCGCCGATGTCGCGTTACAGGCGACCGTTGAAAATATAAGAGACTTTGTATGAGAAATATATTACTGAGATCTGCGCACGCTAAATAACGCAAAACCTTACTTTTTCTTAAATGAATTGAATAAAAAAGACTTACCTGCAATGTATTCCACTGCGTTTTGGTGTCTGTTTGTCGTTTTACTGTTTTTTTGGCTTTATTGCGTAACCACTGTTACTCCTTTCATAGAACGAAGTGAAGGCTGGTCACTTCGATCTGTGTCGGGGTCCTGAACCAGTCGCAACAAGAAGCCGTTTTTTTCGCCGAAATTCAAATCCGCTGCAAATTTTTCAGCTCGGGCCTAAGAGGGAAACCTCTTCTACCTGTCTGGGAGATCGGCTCGAAAAAAGATCCATAATTTCCCCATTAACGACGGGTGACAGGGCGGAAATGACACGTCAACTAGGCTCTTGCACTGTGAAAAAGCGAGTGCTTGCACCCGTCGTGTAAGTGCTAATTGTCATAATGCAAATTAGTTAGTAGGCGCAACAGTGGTCACAGGTACTGGACGAAAGCCAGACGTGCCTCGAAGTCCGGCACAAATGGCTCGATTTAATGGGGAAATTATGGATCTTTTTTCGAGCCGATCTCCCAGACAGGAAGAAGGTTTCTCTCTTAGGCCGGAGCTGAAAAATTTGCAGCGGATTTGAATTTCGGCGAAAAAAACGGCATTCTTGTTGCGACTGGTTCAGGACCCCGACAGATCGAAGTGACCAGCCTTCACTTCGTTCTGTGAAAGGAGTAACAGTGGTTACGCAATAAAGCCAAAAAAACAGTAAAACGACAAACAGACACCAAAACGCAGTGGAATACATTGCAGGTAAGTCTTTTTTATTCAATTCATTTAAGAAAAAGTAAGGTTTAGCGTTATTTAGCGTTCCCAGATCTCAGTAATATATTTCTCATACAAAGTCTCTTATATTTTCAACGGTCGCCTGTAACGCGACACCGGCGCGTCACCTATGTTATGTAAATTACATTACACCCTTCCCTCGCAACGTGAGTTTGGGCCGCCTGTGGTTAAACAAACATCCTGACTCTGTGGTGGTATGCGGTGGTGATCTGAATCAACTGGACCTACAACACCTTGAGGCGTTAAGTAGCTGGAACGCGCTCGTTGACATTCTCACAAGGGGCGACTCGCACCTCTATAACTGCTTAAAAAATCGTCCAGATCTTTTTGAAAGGTGTTATCCTATTCAAATCCTCATTAAAACCGACCAAAAAGGAGTAGTTCTGCCGGCACGCAATAAACTTAGACCGCTCCGACGAAAGGTAACAATCCGTGACAGTAGAGAACACCGAAAACAAGCATTGTATCTTGCTTTGTCGCCTGAGGATTGGTCCGAGTTGTTAAGGTCAACAAATGTTGATGCATCGGTCTCTCAACTTAAAGCAAAACTCATCACCTTAATGGACACGTGCCTGCCCCTTAAGACGGTTACAATGTCCTCCAGGGATCCCACGTGGATGAGCTGTCTGGTAAAGACACTACTGAAGAAAAAAACTAGGCTTAGTTGCAACAATAAAGAACAATTAGCGACAATTAACAGGCGTATCTCTCAGCTGATTTGTGAAAATAGGACACATCTCGCCGCTCCTGTGGGAAGTGGTGGTTGGTGGAAAACCGTAGAAGACATCACACAACGTCGCACCTACTCAAACTCTGTTGTATTAGATAACACCTTTGCCAACCAGTTGAATGATTATTTTAATGAACTTTGTACGGACCTGAATTACACTGCACCAGTAGATGTGGTTATCGGGAGCGAAATCGAAGTACATGAGATTCCTGAGAGGCTTGTTTGGAAAAGTCTTAGCAACATCAAACAAACGATTACGGGTCCTGATAGCATCCCATTTTGGGTTTGGAGGGAACATGCTGAGATTTTAACACCAATTCTCGGTCATATTTGGAATTTTTCTCTGCGCACGCACACCTGGCCGAATATCAATCCGATACCCAAGATTGACATACCCAAAGAAGAGTCCGACCACCGCGGCATAAATATCATTCCGGTTATAGCCAGGGCGTTTGAGAAAGCTGTTCATTATATACATACCGAGATTTACGCGTCAAAAAGCATCGAGATAAAAATAGTCTCTTCGCGCTAGAGAAGCCAGCTGATTGGTCATATCATTTTATTCACTAATGAAAAACGACGTATCGACGTTCTGATTGGCTATATCATTATTTTCACTAGTGAACAAAACGGTGTCGCTCGCTCGCCGCTCCTCTTGACTGACAAAAAGCACATTTCTAAGAGTTTAGGCGCATTTTTCTTTAGAAAGATGGCTTCAAATAAGACTAACAGTTTTCAGAGCCTATAGATTCATCAGTAGAAGAGTTCATAGACGGACAGGAAAATCACAACACCAAGAAAAAGACCAAACACGATGTTGCTCTGTTCCACGAATTTCTTGTTTTGAAAGGCGAGACGAGACAAATGGACGAATTGACTCCTCAAGAGCTGAACAAGTTTCTCAGCGAGTTCCTTATAACGATTCGCAAAAAAGAAGACAACGAGGAATACGAGCCCATCGCTAGCTTTGAGCGCCATTTGAAGAAAAAAAAATATGGACTTTGCCTAATGAAAGACGTCCAGTTCGAGCAAACTCGGAAAGCGCTTCGTCAAAGCAAAGGGATCTAAAACGGAAAGGCAAAGGCAACAAGCCTAATGCCGCTGCTGCTTTAAGTGAGGAAGATATTCAAGTTCTGTATGAAAAGGATCTCTTGGGACGTTCCACGGCAGAAGCGCTTTTAAGCACGGTGTGGTTCAACAACACAATCCATTTCGGGTTACAAGGCTGCAAGGAGCACAGAGAAATGTGTTGGGGAGACGTAAAACTTTGTCAAACTTCCACAGGGCAGGAGTACCTCGAATTCAATAAAAAAGAAACCAAAACTCGCTCAGGAAACGATCCTCGAAAAGTATATAAGAACCACTGCACCGAAAATGTTTGCTGTGTCGAGCAACGAGAAATGTCCAGTAAAGGCCTACAAAGTCTAGGCAGAAAAGCGACCCGCCGGGGGGCTTGTACTTGAAAATTGCCCTCAAATACAAAGTAAAACAAAGAAAAACGGTAAATTTCCTTCCAAGAAGAAGGCTAGCCCAATCGATTTTTAAAACGCAAATTTTCCTCCGTACAAAAGCCCCTCAAAAAATAAGCCCCAATGAGCGATAAAGACATTTATTATTATTGCCCCCGCAGAGATTTCGCCCAGAAGGCGAAATCCCCAGGAGGCACCCTAGTAACTCGCGCGTACATTAAGGAAAGTACTTACAGTTGAAGTATACAGTCAGTAGGGCAGAAAAAAATCTCGATTTGCTTGAACAGGGGCCGCGAGGAATCGGTAGGTAATGATGACGTTTCTATTGTTTGCGCCCGCAAGTACGAAATGTTTAAGATGACGTAAAGAGAGAAAATCCCGAAGGGACCCCTTAGGTGGATTTTGTGACATTCACTGTGCAGTCATACTTCGATACTCTTTTGCGTTACGTGTTATCATTGACATTCTGTGGAGCAGTTGTTTTGAAAGTTATGGACCAAAAGACACTCGTTAAGCGCAGATGAAGTTATAAGGTGCGTATAACAGAGTATATATATAACTGAACACTTGGAGAGTTTGCCAGACACGAGTTCACAAATCTTTGATTGGAAACCTTGCCAGGCCCTCTTTCTCTCTCTTTGAGCGGAATAAGACTCAGCCCCAAGCAGGCAACACGAGTGGATCAACGGCTAGCTTATCACTAGCAGAACGATGGACGATTACAGAAATTCACCGACAATCAAATTCTGTGCTAGACTTATTCCCTACTCACAGATGTCCTTCCGCTATAAAGTTTAAAATAAGACTAGAATGCTCGAGCGTGAATTGATCAAACGTCCTTTTAATTTCTAAGGCTTACTTTACGACAAATAAAATGAACTGAATGTAAGAAGTGAAAGAGAAATAGCGAAAAATTCAACTTCTAATTAAATCTTTTCTTATGGTTTAGAATGAACTACTCTCGAAACTGAGAATGTTTTGATCAAAGCTGTGTAAAATGGAACCTTGCGTTTCCTGTATTTATCTCACCTATTGTATGAAATATGTGTGAAGATCTTCATTATGAATCGGACGAGTATATTTCAAAGAGCTGGTTATTATTATTATTATTATTATTATTATTATTATTATTATTATTATTATTATTATTACAAGTGATACCGGTAAAAGTAAATTATAATTATTTCACACTATATAAAGCTTCGAGTTTAAACCTTAAATAATTTGATAAAAACTAAGGGTTAGGCTTTTCCGTCTTTCTTCGGTGCCTCAATTCATACGACGAAGTCACGGTTAGAGGTTGTCCATTATAGTGAGAAGTGATGCCATTTGCTTTTATTGAAACGAGTGGATGAAAATTGATCCCTCTTTTTTATATAAAAATCATGTCCAGTCACATACAAAATCAACTATTACAGCTGATTCTTCAGTTGTGGCACAAACCGATTAACAAAATGAAATGGATTTACAAAGAGATAGGAATTGCTCTTACTGAAAAGGAAAAAAAAAACAACTAGCTTAATAACGAACAGCCTGCAAACCACTAAGCTGAAACTTAGGTCATGTTAGGCCCCTTTCAAACGTGGAATTTCTTATGAGTGCCGAACATCTATTTAAGTCGAAGAAAATAATTAAATACGGCATTTGATTCAGACGTCGGATATAATGGTGCCGAATGTAAATCCGTTTCAGTTATAAATATTCCCAGTCTCTAGAAAAATTTTTTACCCAATATGGATAAGGGTTTCTATAACTAGTGTATTATATTCGGCATATGTGAAATGCGACTTCTAAATCAAATGTCGAACCCAAGTGGAATTTTCAACTGTAACTCAGTCGCAGATTCGGCAAAGTCGTATTTAATTTGAAACTGTTGATTCAGACGTCGCATCTCAAAGCAGTTACCTCTCGAATTAAATGTGGCAAATGTGAAATTCGAAGTTTGAACTGGGTAATAGTAACACTGTCCAGTAATATACCATTATACAACTATCCCCCGAAGGGGAGGTGAATAGTTAACAGTTATTCCTCGAGCCCGAATGGGCTCTGAGTCAATAGCCCATGAGGCCGAAGGCCGAATGGGCTATTGACTCATAGGCCATGAAGGCGAGAGGAATAATTGTTTTAGTAAAATTCAACCAGTTGGTCAAAAATATCGAGACAAAACAACTTTAGCTAGTAAAAGCTAGACTTTAATCCTATTTTGCCTATTTTGTGATAGTAAAAAATTCTTCATGATCCTACAAATGACAATTTTATGGGTTTTTTTTGTTCTTTTTTTTTTTACTTTATCAACAAGAAAAATCGGAAATAGTTTAAGCTTATAGAAGATTAAGTTTATTTTTCCACTGACCTTCGTATTAATAGTCTCGGCCGGCCGGCCGGCCGTCCTTTGTTTGACTCCCAGTAGTTTGCCTTCTTGGTAGTAGAGTGGCCGGGAAAAGTACGCTTTACTCCCTACCCCACCCCCTCGGCCTTTTCTTAGTCGCATCTCTCGAAGGGTCGCCCCCACAGTCTGAACGCCTGGAAGAGGCTATTCGACATACTTCAATCGCGTTCTAAACGAACATTTTTGTTTTACAGATAACATTAACGAGAACCATGTTTCTCCTGTCTAGTGACAGGTGGAAGTATTTACATTTTGCAGCGAGAAGGTCCTTCATACATTCACCTTTACACTATATATATGGGACAATGGTACACGGTAGTCCTTGAAGAAAAATTAAGAAGATATGGACTGGAGTTCAAAGAAGTAAAATCAAGAACCCGCTAATCACGTCTACTTCACAATAAGTCTCGTTCTTATAAATTCTTTTCAAGTAAACTGTTATTTGCCCTTAAGAAAATTAAATCAGCTGTGAAATGTACATTGAATTAAGTTAGTGTCCGGATACCTTTAGGAACTTGATATTAGTATAAATTTTTAGATGTATAAATCTACCGGCCTTGTATATGTACAGTGCTAGTGCTATATTCTGGTAATGCTGTACGCTATCAATTCCGTGATGGCGGTGAGTGAAGTGACTGAGTAGCCTGACAGTGTTCGGTTGTAACCTGTTTATACCACCACTAAATAAAACCATTAGCCTGTCAAGTTGTTTAGCGTCGAACGACTAGGGGATTTATATTTGAATATTTTAGGGAAATTTGTACCAGATCTTCGTTTCCTCGCATGCAATCTAGCTCGTTTTTTGTTTTTGTTTTTGTTTTTTCATAAGATTTGTGAAGTATTTGAGTCTTTATATTCTTTGTCATAGCATCTCGGTATGCTGACACATAAAAGCCATAAGATCCTCTAACATTGTCCGCAGTAGGCTGGTGTATCAAATGAGCGCCGCATCGGAGTCGCAAAACGAAATGATAAACGCGGTGACGCTTAATTTAGTAAAATCGATATCAATATGAATTTGGATCCACTCGGAGATTCCAAAGGCCGATTTTTAAAAATGTGATCCTAGATCCTTCAGCTGTTGTTCAGATGTATGTATTTTTACATCATTAACGTGGTAGAATGCAAGCGTCTGTAAGAACAGGGTAATAACCGCTAACAAGACGTCAGACGAGAAAAGACGTCAAAAACAGCGAAGGGGTCTCGACCTGGACGTATGTTCATGCTGGGGAAACCTTCGACAATGCCGGATTCAGACTTTGCGTCAGTTCTCACCTCTACTGATTGTTCGAATTCAGAGATTTTTGTCCACGTTGGGCTTCAATAGAAAATTCTGTCGGTGAATTCTCCATGGTACCAAACAATTGTCATGAGTACTCTCAGTAATATGCCTAAAGGTAGATAATGACGATTTTGACAATTTAACTTCGACTCCACAAGGTTTAGATATGCAAAGGATGCGCTTATCACTTTCTGTTTTACGCGTGTATGTTGTGATATTCAAATCTGTCAGCTCATAAATGATATCAAATGTGCAAGTGCATCAGCTGACTGTGTAACTTTATGCCATAGTGCAACAGTGATTAATATCAGGATATTTGACTTAAAGCCACTACCTACTTTTCTCCATAACTTCATTATGTTGGGATCGTCACTTCCCGCATATTTCTAAATAAAAAAAATTGAGTGGACTACTGAGTTTATCATTGTCTGAACTTGAAATTACGATTACGACAATACCCATTGGCCCTTTTGTCGTTATCTTATAACAGATAAAGGAACTAGTGATAAGGATATTAGAAATGATTTTACGATTTTACACGTACGTGATCCCATCTTTTAAAATAGATGGTTTACTAATATTCCTTTGTTGGTCCTCTATGCGAAGAACGAGGTGGCCGCCGAAATCGTCCGAGTTTAGATGCCGATATTTGTGGGTAATCCCCGGGAGGACTCCCATATAAAAGTGAAGGGACTGCTCGTCGGAAGATTAATTTAAACCCCTAAGGGAGGCCAATGTGGGTGTGGCTCAAGCTTAAACTGACCCCTAAAGAGATTTCTGTGAGGTCAGCGTCACGGGTTTTTTTTTTTTTTTGCAAATTTCTTTATGCACAGCCCTACGCGATACATGAATGAACATATTTAGTTACTTTCCGTCCCAAAAACCGAAGTGAAAACGAAGAAGAGAAAAGATCCCACGTCACTTTCGTATGGGAGTCCCCCAGGGGAAGCAGATCACCATATGTTCCACTTGATTTTTCGTAAGGTCAATGATTACCATCTTTTGAGAGTATTGGCTCTGCTTCACTTAGTTTAGACCGATGGATGACAGGTTTCATGGTGAGAAGTAATGGTGTCCTGACATTCGTGTACTTTTATCGGTTGCGAAAAACCGCGTCAACTTCCACACTTTATTTTCTTGTTACTTTCACTGATTTTGCACGATTCGAAATTAATGTTGAAACTTGACTATTTGCGTGTGCCAACTTCTTTATTAACTGGCTGCGATACAAAAGAAGCCTTGGACACTGGACTGTCTCTTGGAGCGTGAAAACAAAAGCTG